TTTTTTGAAATGTATCGCAAAAAGACCAGCAGTATTCAACCGCTTAAAAGACATTTTCCCAAGACTAAGTAACGCCAAAATTCAGGAAGGGGTTGTTAATGGTCCCGACATACGGAAACTAATGAGTCGTCAAGATTTTGACCAAGTTCTGACAGACCGAGAATTAAATGCATGGCTCGCATTGAAAGCAGTCATTAAAGGACTTTTGGATAAAGAACGCAAACACAACTACAGGCAATCTGTTGCAAACATATTGGCAGCTTTCGATGAAATTGGGGTTAATACATATGTCGTACAAAATTCATCTCTTGCATCAGCATCTTGATCAACTCGCTCAACAGTTGCCAACTGAATCTGATGAGCAAGGCGAACGTTAGCACCAAACTGCGCTTCCATTTGAAATAAGGTAACTATAGAGTGTGCATATTTAGAATTCCTAGATTTTTCTAATATCTTTGTCAGAGTGCACAATTTAAACATGTTAACGATTGAAAACTATTTTAGTTTCAGGTACAGAGGAAAGAAATCTCCAGATGCAATACTCGCTGAAATTTGTTGGTGGTATAAAAACACCTTTGAAGAAGAGGAAGACGAGGAAGAAGGGGAAGACAAAGATGAAATTCCAGAGTATATGTTGGACGAAATTATTGACATTTCTGATGATGATGACGATGACCAAGATATTAGAGAGAGCAGTGATGTTGATCCACAGCCGCCTGCTAAACGGCAACTGGCCAAATCATTAATTTAATTTATTTAATTTTTTTACTTAAAACTTTCCATAACTAACATTTCAAAATTATATTTTTTTCCATATTTTTATAATTACTTTTTCAATGTTTCTTCAAAACCAACACTGAAAAAATTGGTACATAAGAAATGAGAAGTAAATTAATATTAAGCTGGAAAACGCAAGTTTTGTATTATGATTGTTTTCTTTTCAAATGAAATTTATTGAAGAAACTGAGAAGCATATTATAGACCAAACAGAAAGCAAAAAAGACTTAGTTTTGTGGAAAATATGTTCAAGAGGCATGAAAAAAAATTTCCAACATTTCGCTTCATAAGCACTACAAAAATTTTCTAAATCAATTTTTTTTTTATTTTAATTGTTGCACAGGTCTCTAGCAATAAATTGGCTTTAACAGATTTAATTAGTCGACGAGTTATAGCCAAAAAACCATATAAACAATATGCTGAAAATCGGCATTTGACTGCAAAGTTCGAAGGTCGATTAAAAAAAAAATTCGAACTAACATAAACAAACGCCGCGATACGGGTCTTATAATTTAGCCTCTGTTTTCACCCCTCACTCTCAGAATTGGCCTAACTTTTGCTAACCTGAATGTGTTCCACGGTGCAATTTTACGTAAAAATCAAAACCCAACAGAATTCTACATGTGAAGTGCTATGCGTTGGGTAACGGCTTACACGCAAAGTCCAAGATTCCTTACGTGACAACTCTCATGCAACGCTAACAGGTCTATTCTGCGCTGGTAATAAAAAGTTTGTAACCGGTAAATAAAGTTCCTTTCAATTTTTAAACCCTTTTCGCATTCTGTGTACTCTTGTAACCGGTAAATTTTGTTACCATCTCATAAGCTGGTAATAAACTATTGCCCCGTGAAATATGCAGAATTTTCACAATTCTTCATATCTGAATTGCTGAATATTTTAACTGCATTACCAACGTTCCTAGAATCGCGGTGACAAGAACTGGTAAAATTTTTTGGTAATAAAATTTTCCGGTTACTAAATTTTTGGTAACGTGCAGAATAGACCTGTAAGTATACATAACTGAGCTATAGCTGTGCTTTCAAATGTTCAGTTTGAATCAAGCCAAATTACACGACTGATACATTTGTTCAAATTTTTTATTGGGCTGAACATATTCTCCATCCTGTGATCGGTCGAACAAACTTTTCGCAAGCTACCAACTTTTTAGCTTTTTATTTTCAACCATTCGGTATTCGGAGCTTCGAGGGCCTCGGGCGGGGTAGTGGTGGCAAACTATGGATGGTCGCGACTATCGATAGTGGGCGATATTTTTTTTAAACTATCGATAGTCTATCGATAGTCACCTATTTTGAAAAAGATAAAAAATCTAATTGGGGGGTATTCATAGTCAAAATTAAGTTGGTACTTAAAGTTGGTTGTAACTTTATTCACAGATAACCCATCCAAAATTATGCCAAAAAGCTACAATTAGCTTTAAATACCAACTTAATTTTTACTATGAATACGCTCAATTGCGTTAAATATAGTTTTTCAAAGACCATGAGGACCTACCTTAGTAATGAACGTATTATTCAAAAAACTTAACATATTTACCTATTCTAGTTTTTAAAGCCAATTGTTTTTATTTAAGAAACATAGCATGTCAACATTTTTAGGTTTTAGTTGCGACCTTTTTTCGTTTACTATTAAAGCTGCTTTACTGAACATTCGTTCCGATCCTACTGATGACGCTGGAATACATAAATATTTCAGCACGCACTCATTTAAGGGCAAGAAATCTTCTTCTGCCAGCTTTTAATATAAAAACGAAAAATTAATAAGGTTTTTTTTTAAATAACCACGAAAACTATACCTTCCAGTAATCCAGGGGGTTTGTATTTTGGGCAGCATTTTTCCTCTCCAAGTACTGGCGCTTTATTAAAATTGAATCTGCCCGTTTTGACAACCTTTTGTTTCTATTTTTTTCATGTAGAAATGAAAAAAGTGTATCTTCACCTTCCGGTGCTTCTTGTTGGGAAGGTGGTTGCGTGTGTGAATGTCCCTTAAAATGCATAATTTCAGTTTCAATTAAATTTGATGTTTCGTTAGCAATATTTTCAGATATGAAAGCTTCTTTTTACCTTCCTTTTATTAACTCGGGATGTAACTATGTAATCTTGATGCGCCTAAAAGATGCAGCGATTTTTATTCTCAAGTTACATACCTGATGACAGTACGAATGGCAATTATAATAGGGAGGTTTTAGTTTTTTAAACTATAATTTTATTTAAATCGTGGATCAAGAATCGTTGCCATTCGTGTTGGCGTTCTAGTTTCATATATAATGAGTCGTTTTTTAATTCCCTCCAATAATTTAGAGCAAAGATTGATACCATGTTGACTTTTAAAATTTTTCGCTTGCTCCATCATATTGCGTTCACAAGCGGAATAATACGGGATACTGTTACATAATTTCCGCTGCATTTTTCTGTTATAGTTAGAAACGGAAGAAGTAGTTTTTCTATTTCCTCTAACGCTTGTATTTCATCAGCTGTAAGAGTCGGGGGCGCTTTTGGAGTAGATAGTAAAACGCTTGATATTGCAGTACTTNTAGCTGTAAGAGTCGGGGCGCTTTTGGAGTAGATAGTAAAACGCTTGATATTGCAGTACTTGTCTGAAGAATCCGTTGAATCATAATATACGTGCTGTTCCATCTCGCTATGACATCTTGCTTTAGTTTTAGTGGCCTTTCTGACCGTTGCTCTAATTTGAACTTCTCCATAGCTGTTGTGCTGCTTCTGAAAAATGTGACAATTGTTTTGCACTTCGAAATCAGAGATTGCAACACAAACTCCTTCAACCCGTCCTGAACCACCAAATTCAAGGTGTGGGCTACGCAAGGCAAATGCCGCAATTTTAGCAATTCGCATGCCTTTGTCATGGAGGATGCGTTATCTGTGGTAACACAGCACACTTTATTAAAAATCGACCATTCCATTAAAACATCATGTAAAGAATCTGCAATGTTTCTTGCTGTATGATTTGTTATATCATTGAGTTTTTTTGTGGACAACACTGCGTGACGAAAATTATATTCTTCATCAATAAATTGGCAAGTGACTGTTATGTAGGCTTCATTATTCATTGATGACCAGCAATCTGTTGTTATTGCAACATTTCCGACGTTGCTTAGAATGTCAAACAATTTCGCTTTCCGGCTTTCATACAAATTTGTGATATGGATATTTTTCAATGTATTTTTGTATCCAACACCTTTACGAATTTACGAAATGCATTGTCATTAACAATATTGAACGGGTGAAAACTTTCAGTCACTAACTGCGCCAAAGCAGTGTCTATGTCCTTTTTACGTTTAGATGACGAATCGTACTCCACAGCTCTTTTAAAATATGAATCGATTGAATTATAACTGGAGCGATTCGATGAGCTGGTACTGGGTGTGTTGTCTCTATCCGATGCTGGGTGCATCCGCTTTAAGTGATCGCGTAAATTGGATGTGTTTCCGCTAGTTTTATATTCTTTAGAGCATTGTAGACACTTTGCCAATTTTTTGTCATCAGATTGCTTAAAGTATTTCCAAACCTTCGCAAAACTTATTTTATTTAGTATCCATGTCAAAATATTAATCTTTTATTTCCTACCATTGAAAAAGATTTGCATCTTTTCGAAGTGCCTTCAATCACACACACATCATCTTCTTCCGAGGAACAGGAACATGTGACAGTTTTGCTTTTGTCTAAATGAAATGGGTTATTTTAAAATGTGCTCTAATTTATGTAGATAAGATATATACGTATTTCGCTTGCCAAAAAATTATCCATTTCTGATAAATCTTGCAAAGAATTGAAACTATATATACGTAAAATGATGTTATATTGCTGGTTCTTTGTTTCTCACAATAGACATATATTCGTTATGAAAGAAACGTTAGGCCAACATAGTTGCCATATATTCTTTTATATAAAAGTATTGCCGCTTTATAAAAGGCACATTCACAATTTTTGTGTCTCAATTTTGGAAAATGTTCGATAGTGAAAATACTTGATGGTTTTTCAATACTATCGATAGTGAAAAAAAAACCAAAACTATAGATAGTATCGATAGTGCCATCGATAGTTTGCCACCACTAGGACGGGGTACCTCAGGGGAAGCCTAAATGGCGCGCCACCGCGGCGAGAAAGGCGCATTCGGAATGCCGCATGGCCGACAAAATTTTAGAGTTGTTCTGAACCCCAGAAATGTAGAAATGTAGGATTTTAAGAAACTAAAAACTTGAAAAAAGGCAAAATGAGATTTGAAAAAACAAACAAAAAAGGCATACATATTTTAATCTTGTTATGTATTTCCTTTATGTGCAATGTGCATGTCTAATTAAAGATATTAAAAAATACATATAGTGGTAAAAAAATTATAGCCGAACCACTTCTTGCCAAGTTTTAACGTATTATTTTCGTTGTTATTTAGGTTTGGTTATTTTTTTATAATAATATAGTTGATTCTTTAACAAAACCCCTCTAAATCAAAGGTTCCAAATTTGTGCAATATTAAAAAAATTCAAGAAACTTTCGTACAAATTTCGAGGTCTTTTTTAAATTCTAAAAAATAATCGTAGTTTTTAGCCATTTGAAACTTTATTCTACTAGAATTCAATGGGCTACAAAACTGCATACTCGGAATCCAATTAAAAAAATCCAAATGTTTACGAAAATTTGTTGATTTTTTTTTTTTAATTGCAGACACTTTTAAGGAAGTGGCACTCGATTGGTACATTTGTACATTTTTATATTCGGCTATTGGTACAAAATAAAAAAATGGGAATTTTTTTTTGTAGTCAAAATATTGGTACAATACAGCGATGTTCTATTGAAAAATTTCAACAAATTAATTTCCGTGATAGGGATAAAGAAAAATATTTGGGTATTCACACAATTGGGATACGATATGCACCAAATTTCGGCAATCGTGTGACACTGCCTTTAAACTTGTATTTATACGGATGTTGTTAAAGAATGAACTATAAAAAAAATAACCAGAATTAAATAACAACAAAAATGATATTTTTAAACTTGCGAAAATTTGGTGCGGCTATAATTTTTTCGACTACTGTACATTAGACTGCATCACCAAAAAAAGTTGCGGCTTTTGTGGCGGGACTACCAAACCTGGTACATTTTAAGACTTCTTCCAAAATATTTCGGAAAAATATTAAGATTTACGAGAGCAGGACCGGTTTGAAAATACCTCTAAAAATGGAGTTTTTTATGAATAAAAATAGTCTCTTAAATGATTTTTTGGAACAAAATCCCCTCAGACGACAAAACAGTTTAAGCTTAAAAAATCTACATAAATTATTAAAAAATTGTATCAACGGAATCATAATAATGAGATTTTTGATGATGTTTTTCAACTTTTTTCAAAGTTTTGTGTAAGAAAAAGTTGAATAACTGCTTCAAAACTTTACCGATGTAGACTTGTGAGGTATCAGTGTGAAGGCATTTTCTCACCCTTTTTTACTTCTTTTTTTATCAAATACCAACACAACTTAATTCAACATGGAATGAAACGCGTTTATCTTACCTTCCTCTTTCATACTTTGAATGAGCTCATTCGCAAAGAAATTAAAAGGGTGAGAAAATACCTTACCAATGGTACCTCATATGTCTAAATTTGTAATTTTGGCTTAGTTATTCAAGTTTTTCTTAAACCAGTCTTTGATAAAAGTTTAAAAACAGCATCAAAAATCTCATTATTATGATTCCGTAAAACAATTTTTTGAAATATTTTTTAAAAAACTTTTTACGCTTAAACTGTTTAGTCATCTGGCATAATTTTTTCAAAAAATATTTAAAAAAAAAACTTTTTATTGATAAAAAAACTAAATTTTTTGAGGTATTTTCAAATCGGTCCAGCTCACGTAAATCTTAATATTTTTGCTAGATATTTTGGTGGAAGTCTGTTATGGGTTACTGTTCGCCGCACAAAAAAATAAATACTTTATTCTTCGGCGTATAGCGCTCCCGGTAGCGTGCCATAAATTTCACCATCTGATAATTTTTCTAGAGCGTATGGCAACACCAAAACTTCATGGAATGTCTGCCATTTTGCGATGCTGTGTTCCCTCCGGACGGGTGTCGCTAATTGTCACTAGTTCCTCAGGTCTGTTCGCCTACTTTTTTATGGTTAATAAAAGTTTACCAGCGGAGGCTAGTGATAGTTGGTGACAGCTGTCTGTAACTGCCGTCTTCACAGGATGGAATTTATAACTTGACGCATCTGTTGGAATGTGGGGCACAATACATATCTTGGCATCTATTCCGATAACTTGGTAATTTGACAGCTATGTTTCCCTTTGTACTAAAACATTCTGGCGGAAACATTATCGATATTCCGATATAGTATGTGTGCCAACCGGTAACTTTTATCCATGGTGAGACGGTGGGGAAAATTTTCTACGGTGTACAAATAAATAGTTTCTGGCTGTGCCAAACGAAAAGGAAAATTTCGACAAGTGAAAAACCACACAAACGCTCGTGCAGAAGCTCTATTTTGTGTGTTGCTGAAATTGTTGAATTTACATCTATTTTATTAACCGACTTCCAAAAAAGGAGGAAGTTATCAGTTCGTCGGAATATTTTTTTTTTTTTTTTTATGTATGTTACCGCATAACTTTGCACCACGTCAACCGATTTCAATAATACTTTTTGCAACGGAAAGGTAGTGTCTCCATACTAACTTGCTTTAGATCCGATCATTGCATCATGAAATATATAGATATAGATGCACAACGGGGTCATGGTAACCCCGGACAGCCTCGAACATTCTTTTGACATTCCTCCTTGCACTGCGGAAAATTCCCGGTGGAAGAATAACGGAACCAGTCCAAATGACGCAGTGCCCGTTATTTTTCCAACCGGAATAACTAATTTCCCTCAGTGCAAGGGTATAAAAACCTGCTGGCAACCCCACAGTCAGCCATTTATTCTCAGACTCGCCAACCGAACGTAGTGGAACGGGCGGAAAGTGAACAAGAAAAAAAAAATAATAACTAAGTGTAGTAGAAAACATTTAGCACGAATTCTACATTAAAAACCAAAACTTACGGTGGTGTGTAAATTGTAAATGCCTAAAATTGAGGCATTAACAAATACGTGAGGTGACTTTCAAATGCGGTTCGGTCTAACTCCTAACGCGCAAAACTATGTGGAAAAAAAGCTAACTTAGCTAATAAATTTAATGTGCCCGAGTGCACCTCGAGCTTCAGCAACAGCAAGCACGCTAGAGCCACACCAAACACCTTAATAAGGTGCCAGTCGGAGGAGCAGCACCGATACCGCGTGCCGGCAAGCACCACCACTAACCACAAGCCCCTAGCACCGTGGGACAACCGTCAGCATCAGCCACAAACAAGGTAAGTGTTCCTCAGCATAAGTGGTGATAATGAGCGTTTCTCCAGGTTTCATAAGAATTTTCTTGCTCTAAGTTACTCCATTCTGCTCCAGCTTTCTGTTATGTGAATGAATTAGCTTGGAGCAAGAAACCACGCTTACCTTGCAATTGGCAAATTAAGCAACATGCGACTGGGGTACAGTTTGGATAGTAGTGCATAGTAATGATTTTTGTGGTGCTGGGTGCAGACGNACTGGGTGCAGACGCGATGCCCGGATCTAGGGAGGCTTTAGCATACGCGTGTAGCAAAAGAACTAACTTAAATTTAAAACAAAAATTTCAATTTCCGAGCAATAGGTTACTAGGCTGCAATTTAGTTGGGTATCCCCAGAGTTCCGCATTAAGGTAGCCAGGGAACAGGAGGGGCAGTTCTACTGATTGCAAATATATAGTTCTAGCTGCCGGAGCCTTGTAGGTTTTTTTTTAAGTTATGTGTTGTTAAATTTATTAATAAATTCGGTTTGAAGTGGGCGCCTTTTGGTAAAATTCGACGGTGCAAANAGTTATGTGTTGTTCAATTTATTAATAAATTCGGTTTGAAGTGGGCGCCTTTTGGTAAAATTCGANAACCCAGAGTTCCGCATTAAGGTAGCCAGGGAACAGGAGGGGCAGTCCTACTGATTGCAAATATATAGTTCTAGCTGCCGGAGCCTTGTAGGTTTTTTTTTAAAGTTATGTGTTGTTCAATTTATTAATAAATTCGGTTTGAAGTGGGCGCCTTTTGGTAAAATTCGACGGTGCAAAAATACTCGGAATGGCCTAAGATTTTATTCTAACAAAAAGAAAAAAAAATTTTTGACGGATTTCCTGTTGTGCGGGGGAAATGTTCGGTCATTTGTATAAGGATTATTTTCACAAAGAAAATAATTAAATTTGTGTTAGGCCATCAGCAGTATTTTTACTCCAAAATCCACCTCCAAATTTACAGAAGGAGTGCATATTTCAAACCGCAATCTTTTTTTTGATTAAAGTGCAATCCTCTTACTAGACGTAGATGTTGAAGTTTCCTTGGTTCGGATCGCGTGGTTGGACACGATAACCCAAAATCATTGTACAAATAAACGAACCACCGCACGCAAACTGTTTTACTTATGCATTTTCCTACAAACAAAAATTTTATAAAATGAAAATGTAGTAGTTTATCTTAAGCGGATGGTTCTTGTCATAAATACTTAGTTTTGAGCTTATATTTATGTATATTTATATATATATATTTTTTTT